CTCAGATCAGTCCTGTTCTCCAAGGGGTTAAACGCATGAGCTGTGAGACGAAACACTTGGGATTCAAATCCCCACCTTGTCTATGACTGGGTTGCAATTTTGGATAAATTCTTTCTGCCTCAGTTTCCTTATCTGTAAATGATAATAGTGCCAGTCTCACAGGGCTGTGGGAATAAAATGTATTAATATTTGTAAACTTCTTTGGAGAATGTAGTAAGTGCTTTAATGACCTAGCAAACAAGTCTCTCCTCCGCCCGTGTCAACAACAGCTGCAGATCCTGGTGCCTCTTGGGTTACCAGGCTGACTCTGAAATTAACTTATTCCGAACTGAGTAGCAATGAGATCCAAATGTTTGCATTTGACTGCCTCTCTTGGTCAGTGACCCTTCAGCTTCCTTTTTCATAATTTGGGTAGAAGATCGGGTCCTAAGGTTGCTTTTACAAATAACCTGAGGTGTGGACAAACTTCTGCCTAGTTCTCCAAATTGCACACTCCTGGGAGCCTCAGGAAGATGCACTTCAGCAAGAAGTTCTGAGCGGCTTCTGCAGGGGAAATATTTGTTCTGAGGCTTCAGGAGAACTTTCCAGAGAGGGCCAGGCCAGATTCAGATCCTGCCCTCCAGATGGTCCCACTGTGTCAGCCAATAGCAAGGAGGAAGACGCTGGTGCTTCCACGTGGACCTCGGGTTGTCACTAATGAGCCTGGCTGTCCGGCTGCCTGGGCGCTCGCGGGCTTCCCTGGCTCTTGGCAGCAGTGGATGTTCAGAAGCCAGGTCCTGGTGAAGACACCATGCTGTGGCACCCTATGCAGGGGGCCCCAGCCTGTGAGGTGCCAGGCAGGGAGCGCAAGGTTCACCTGCGGAGAGGGCGCTGGCTCGGCTGACACCGCGTCCCTGTCCACTGCGGGGGACGCTGTCTTTGAGGTGTGTCCATCCCGGGGTGCAGCCAGAGAGGCCGGATTGGAGCGGGGTTGGCTCCCCTCTGGCACAGAGCAAAGAGGCGAGGCTGGCCCCATTAGGTGGTCGCCCATGGGGAGGGGAGGGCGCCTGGCCCGGGCCTGGGAAGACCCCTCTCCCAGCGAGGCGATGGGGCCCAGAGTGGGAGGCATCACGTCCACCCCGGCATCCTCTGCTGACCAGCGGGGGCTGCGTCACGGAGAGTCAGCTCGGGGACACTGAGGCCCGGCCAAAGGGCCGAGCTCTAGAAATCCCTTTCAGGCAACTGTCGGTGACGAGCTGCAGGGCCGTGTGCTGTGTAGGCCCGTGGGGCCAGCCCGCGCGGACTTGGCTGGAGGACTGGCCTTAGCCTCCCTGGTGTGACCCGAGGGCAGATCCCTCACTCCACGCCTGACCTCGTGCTTGGGCATCTACCCAGCAGACGAGCCAGACCGCCGAGGACTCTCATCTTCCTTCAAAAGACTGCTCCAAAATGTCAGCTTGGGTCTCAGGAGCTTGGAGAGGGAGCTGGTGTCTAATGGTGTCATGTGCTGCCCGGTATGTGTGTGACTTCACGATACACTGTAGCAGGGGCATCTCAAGCCAGGGCTTTGCTGCGGCCGTGTCCAGGGCAAACTTGTGCCTCCAGTGGAGGGAACTGGGTCAAATGATTTTGTTTGGGGGGTCGACTCTCAGTGTGGAGACAACGAACGAATCCCTGTCGCTTTACCTTTCAGAGTGCATTTGCTTCTTGAGCTCGTTTTTGTCAACCCTGACTGACCCACAGTAGCTCAAGACAAAGCTAAAGGGTGCTGCTCTTTGGTGTACTCATGGAAGAAAATCTAATTATTCAAGCAAGGTGGGACTCTGTAGCCGGATTCAATAACTTAGTTCCTCTTTTATAGTTATCAGCCGGTTTTGAGATCAGCTCTTTCTTCATTAATAATTGGCTAAATGTATAATTTTGAACTAATTATAGATGTTCTTTAGCTATGTGACCACAGGGACATTTATTTACAAGAATAGAAAGAAGAACTAAGACCAGGGATGGAGCTTTTGGGAGAAGGGTTCTGAATTAAAAACATGCTTCCGCGCGGCAGCTGATGCTGCTGGAAAGTGTATCACACTGCAAATGGCAATTTTCTAAAACAGTGGCTGGTGCTCAGTGTAAGGTACACAGACCAACAGCATCAGGAAATCTGCAAATTCTTGGGAACCACCCCAAACCTGTAGAATCAGAATCTCTGGGAGTGGGGCCAGAGTGGGTCTGGTTTTTAACAAGCCCTGCCAGTGATTCTTGTGTGTGTGTGTGTGTGTGTGTGTGTGTGTGTGTGTGTGTGTGTGTACTTGGAATCAAACTCAGGACCTTGCACTTTCGAGGCAGGTGGCAGAATCACTGAGCTAAATTACTGGCTTGCCCTGCCGGTGATTTTGATGCATGCTCAAATGGAGAACCACCATTTTAGAAATGGATGATAGGTTATCTTTCAGTGTAACACAGCCCAGGATTGAAAATAATTTGCTCTTTTGGGTCAGGCAGGTGGCAGAATCACTGAGCTAAATTCCTGGCTTGCCCTGCCGGTGATTTTGATGCATGCTCAATTGGAGAACCACCATTTTAGAAACGGATGATAGGTTATCTTTCAGTGTAACACAGCCCAGGATTGAAAATAATTTGCTCTTTTGGGTCTAGCCTGACATCCTCGTACTTAACTACTCTAGTTCTTTCTTGAAGTTATATGTTTTGGGTCCTCACGATAGAATTTTAGGCCTAGGAGGAACTGCAAGTGATGTTCTGATTCCTTTTCCCTGTGCTTTATGCTCCCATATGAATCTTGTCGACCTCTGAGCTTTCAACATAACTGATGGAAAGCATTAAAGTGAAAGTTAAGTTGAAGAAATATCCAGAATCCATTTATCATATTTTGTCAGTGTTTAGGCCTCCGGCTTCAATTTAGAGTTTAAAGATATTTTTTTTTCAATGCCTTATAGCTTCAATACTTACACTAGCATTATTTTAAAAAAATTAAAAAAGAACAGAGCAATGGGAAAGAATAATTAAATTTGGCAAGAGCTTTTAAACAGTTTTATTGGATTTGAAATTAAATAGAGGACTGTGGGAGATGGTCTTGGGGCACTTCATGCCCAGGAGCCCACAACTGTCCTCATGTGTGGCTGCAGAAGAGGGGACAAACAGAAAGGCTGCCAGGGGTGGACAGAGCAGTTTTAGGAGGCCAGGGAACACAGAAGGGTTTCAGACCATGGAATAACCCTTGCTGTAGTGAGATTTTCAAAGTGGAGTATATTTGTGAAATTTGACTATGGGAGAATAAAGTCTCTTTCAGGCTGTGAGTTTCTGATAATAGCAGTCACCCCAAACAGCGCGTGATTGGATTAGAGTTAGCAGTTCCAGCCCCCAGAACAGCACACCTGTACTGCCAGAAGGCTTTCTCGTGGAGGATAGGAGCAGTACGGAGGAGGAACCAAACAGATTTCCCCATCTGTGCACCCAAGAGGGAGGAGCAATCCTTTCTTAGTTAGGTGTCTTGCTATTGATATAAGAATTTGTGTTCCTGAAGTCCTTGACTCAACAGGCGTCTTCCTAGGAGGGGGAACCTGAATACTTCTATGAGCCTCGAGTCCACTGTCAGGTTTTTCAGGTCTTGTGTAGGGCACTCACCTCTGATGGCCCACATTTATACAGTGACCACCACAAATGCCCATAGAAACCTTCAAAGAGGTTACATTTAGGTATTTTCTGGTAGAGATCTTCAAAGTTAAGCAACAGGATATATTTCCAGATAATTGCGAAAAAAAGGCCTAGACAAGTGGATAACCAATCACAATTACCAGGAAAAGCACAGTGGGAAATAGTATGGCCAACTGGTCCCCCCACAGGGCTTAAAATGTATAAATTTGGACAGATTTGAACACTCTGCTGACTTGGTCCTAAATCAGTGACCCAAGATGTATGGTAACAGGCTTTATCCAAGAAACTGGAGCCCTACCATTGATTGCTTAGCCAACCCTCCAACCCTTGAGCTTGTAATGTTAGAACCTTTTACACTGGTGTGTGGGGTGATAGGAAAGGCAGTTAACGTAACATTTTCACCCATGAAGAGCATATGCTAATGAATTAAGTGTGGAGAATTCTACTCCACACCCTTACATTATTAGCTGGCTAAGTTCTCCAATTTGAGGAAATATTTGTGACAGAGAGAATATTTTGAGAATCTTAGCAAATTTAGTTAACTCCCATTTATTTAGGGGTTGACTGTCACTTTGGGAAAATACCCAGAATCTTAGTGTTTTTTTTTTTTGTTTAATCCATTGTTTCCCTCCCACCTCTCCTATCAGTCTCTTTTTGGACCGTTTCACAGTACATTAGGCAACTCAAATGGCAGGCAAAGAAAATAACATGCAAAAAATAAGAGAAACCAAAATTTATAAAATTGAGCCATTAATCCTCTATTTGGAATAGGTTTGGCTAGGAGGAAATTGAAACTCTTGGTCAAAGAAACTATTTTGGTTATTATTATTATTTTGTGGTACTGGAGTTTGCAGCAGGGGTGCTCTACCAGTGAGCTATATCTCCAGCCATTCTTTTTTAAACTCTTAAGTCACTGAGTTGCCCACATCAGGCTTAAACTTGTAATCCTCCTACCTCAGCCTCCCAGAGTGCTGGGATCATGGGCTTGTGGCACCAAACCTGGCACTTTTGCTTGTTAATGGTTGCTAGTCAATGAATGAAATGGGTTGGATAATAATGATTTACTTTTTAATAGTTATAACACTTTTAAAAGTATTAAGAATGGGGCCAGGGATTTAGCTCAGTGGTTCTGCCGCCTGCCTCGCAAGCACAAGGACCCAAGTTCGAACCCCGGTACCAAAAAAAAAAAAAAAAAGTATTAAGAATGGTTATTATTTAGATAGATGATAAGTAGTCCCCAAATGATCAGAATGGGCAATATCTGTGCCATGAGTTCCCATATAACGAGCCAAGGTCATCATTTCTCCTATGCCCCGTTCCCCAACACTTAATGAATCAAATTGATAAAAATGTACCTGTCCTGCGGTGTCATACAGTCCGAGCAAGTGCTGCTTGCCTCCCACTGTCACAGTAACTGGGGGAGAAGAGAAGAGGAGAATCCATAAACAAGAGTTTCAGTCAGGAGCCTTCACATTTCTCCATGCCGGCATCTCCGGGCAGCATGGATAAACATACGCCACGGCCACGTATATTATAAACTAAGTTGACAGCATGGTTTCTGAATGAAGGACAACCTTGGGCCACAGTGATGGCAGATGGCGTGAGCCGAGTCCACATTTTTTCAACTAAAATGAGTACTTCTGGAGCTACAAGGGCGCTCTGTGGGCGGCTCATCGATTCTTTTCAAGCTGTGGAATACTGAGCTCTTGCCGGAAAGGAGGTAGGACTCCTTCTAGTTAGGCTGCCATTGTCTTTTCTTTGGTCTGAGCCTCCTTTCAGAACATAGGACTGTGTAAGCTACTTCTGTGATAGAAATCTCTCTGCTTCTGCCTGTCTTTGAAATGTTAATAAAATCTTGGAAACAAAGAACATTAACCTCCTATTGTATTTTCTATTCTATAAGGGAACGCAAACAATTAGATGAGAAAAGCTTAGCATTTATTTAAGGATTTCTAATTAAGTAGAAACTCGATAAAAAAACATGAAAAAAATTCCTGTGCTTTCGTTCAGCCGATTCTTTATGATTTTTAACACTCCAGAGGGATTGTTGCATGGTAGGTTTCTCCTACCTAGAGGGCGTATGGAGAGTGGAGAGCAGCCAGTTCAATTTAACCGGCGGACCTCCTACCTTGCCAAGCAATTGTGTCCAAAATCGAGAAGTAACACAGGGATACCAACCACTCCGTACATGTCTGGAAATGAAATAAAGTCTCCAGTTGAAAGGAAACCAAGAAGGAGCAGACTGAATGAGTGGTGATACAATTCTTGTGGTGAAAGGAGAGAACAAAATTAAGTCTCCACAAAAACAGAATAGGAAATTGGAAGGAAAGCATGACTTTTGTGCCTCAGTTGATTCAAAAAATGTGCAGATGCAGTATAAAGATGATTCTTGATTCCTTCTCTCATTAGTGGTAGAGGAAATGGTGAAATGGAATAGCAACATTTTACAACCATATCTCGGACACGTGCCAGCCAAATTCTCTAGTTTGCTGCTCAGAGTTGCTGATTTGCTACTGATTTTCATTTTTCTTTTCAGGTTCATGATCTACATGTGTGCAAAGCATTTGTTAATGTCCTTCTTTGAATAGTACTTCCTTATAAGCGCTGGCTCCCCAGGCCCTGGGAACTATTTTTCTAATCTACTCAGATCCACATGTGTGCCCCTAGATAAGGGAGCTGCAGTCATACAGATGGGCTCTGAAAGCTCTGAAAGCTCTATTTTTTAGTGGCAAAGCCAGTTCTGTCCAACCCTGGTTACAATGCTGAGAGAGGACAGACATTTATGCATTCTACTTCTAGTCCTAAGTGAGGTTGGTAATAGAAATAAAGGTGACACCATGTGGGCCAGAACTCTTTGTCCTATTTCATCTTTCTCTTGTGAACTGGCAGAAAAGAGCTCTGATGTTTAAAAAAATCTGCCTAAATGGTTTCTTGAAAGACCAATAGGCCATCTAGTCACGGATCAAGAATGAAAGGAAGAAATCCAGGCATCACAACATGGAATTCCCTTCCTCCACAAGCCTGACCCATGGAGGTCAGGGGCAGCTGATCTCGAGACCTTCTCAGACGGTCCCGTACCCTGCAGGTGCAGGGCTGTCTGTGAAGTGAGCTGGAAGCCAAGTCATTCTTGCTGCCCCACTGTGCACTGAACATTTTCCGAAGTGGTGGTTCTGGCTTCTGCCATTGGAGCCTCAGAGGGCGGTCTTTCCCTCCAGCCTGCTTCTCCTCAGGTGTCAGCCCTTGCTCCTTGGCACCCTTGACTCCAGAGAATTTGATTAGGCCCAAGGCAAGTGAGAGCTAAGCTGTAGACTGAGTCTGGTCACAGCCGCCTCTTTCCTTTTGTCTTTCCCTTCTGCAAGGGTCTGCTGTGTTCCTGGACTGAACTCAGTGTTGGGAATGGGAAGACCAGATACAGTTCTTCCTGTCCTGGAACATGGAGGCAACTGGTTTCCTGGCAAAGCAATGGGCACAACTATGCCAGTGCCAGTGTGGAGGGCGCTGCTGAATGAGCTTGCATCTGTGCATCCACGCTGCTGGAGCTCGGTCTGAGGAGGCTTTCCGGACGAGACATCTGCACTGAGTTTCAGTGGACAGCCCAGAGCTCCCCCAGGTCCCCCGGGGTGGGGGGAGAAGGAGCAGCGGAGTGAGCTTAGATCATAGGGCTGCACTGACATCAGCTCAGGCTTTATTCTGAAGGTTTCCTAAGCTATGAGAACCTGGAATTCTGCCCCCCACTCCACAAATTAAACTGAAAAAAAAAAAAGCAATTAAAACGATCTCTTTGGGTTAAGGCAAAATGGTGGTGGGAGGGAGGCTAGCATGTTTGGTTGAGAAGCCATGGTAGACTCAGATTTGTGTGTATGGCTGGCCGGCGTGCCTGAGTGGGGCTGGCCCTGCTGGAAGAATCCTAAAGGAAGAGGCAGAGCTCGTGCCCCTCCCTCTCTTTGGAAGTCATTTTGTTTCCTCTTTCCTATTCTTTTATTCTCTCATTCCATTAGAAAGAAGATAAGTGGGTTGCAATTTATGTCAGAGGACATCAGGGACAGGTAGGGACAGATCTGAGCCTCAGTCTCACATGGTGGGTTGTACAAGTCACGGCTTTGTGAGTCCTCATCTTCCAACAGCCGTGGGTGCCTTGACGCTCACCAACCTGTGTCCTACGAGGTGCCTCAATTTGGAAACAAATCAGTCACAGCCACACAGAAGGAAAATTTTGCCATAAAACATTAATAGCAAATATCAAGGGATCACAAGTCAGATGGTTCTTGTATTTGAATTCAGTCTTTGCTGCTCACCATCGGAGTGACCTTGGGAGAGTCACTTAATGTCACTGAGCTTCTTTGTCTTTTCTATTAGAATGCGGATCCCACCCGGGTGTGGTGGTTACTGTCTGTAAACCCAGAGACTTGGGAGGCAGAGGCAGGAGGATGACAAGGTCAAGGCCAGTTGAGGCAATTTAATCTCAAAACATTGAAAAGGGCTGGTGGTTTCACTCAAGGGGTGGGGTGTTCCTGGATTCAGCCTCCAGTAGCACACACCCACACCCACACACACACACCAGAGAGAGGGCTTCTGAGGAAGAAATGAAGTGAGAAACGCCGGACACACAGCCGGGGTCATGGCGGGTCCTGAACAAATGGGGCTCATGCTTATTTGACCCATGCTAAGGGCAAGGGTCAGGCCGCCTGTCACTGAGCACCCGGTGCACATGAAGTGGCATACGATGGGACCTTGGCATTTCTGAATCACTAATCGCTTTCTGCCCTACACAATAGTGAGTACAGGTGTCATCTATCTTCCACTAGTTAGGAAGCTCCTGAGGGCAGAATCTTCATTCCCTACGTGCCCAACGTGACACAGCCAGGTTCCCACCTAACAGGGCAGGTGTGGAGTACACAGCCCTTCACAATGTGCAGAGCCGCAGCTGGAGGCTCCCCATGAAAACGCAGAAATGCTGGGAAGCAGCTTCAGCCAGCAAAGCTGCCTGGCAGACAGTGGTCAGGCTAGAGTCCCGGATCATGTTCTATTCTGGGAGCTATTAGAGTTTGTTGAGTTTAGAGAGGTTTTAAAGAGAGTGGGTCAAACGACCGGCTAATAGCACAGATGCTTCTCTCAATAAAGTGTGAAAAGTTGTCAGTGACCTGTTAAGGATGTAAAATGAAGGCCTTCTTCCTGAAATCCATTAAATTCTTTGCTGCCCCAAGTGCTTCCTCTTGGAGAGAATCAGGGCGGTTAATTTTGGGAGCCTGTATGAGGTAATAATGAAACCTAAGTCATGGGTTTGCTCTCCTGAGGATCAGTTAACTTTATCCAGACATTAAAGGTCCCAGATAGGACCCAAGCCTCCTTTCCTCAGCATTCCAGGCAACTCACAAAACATTGCCATTTGCAAACCTGGATGAAGAGGTATTGGGGATGCCAGGTAAACCAACTCAGGTCATCTGTCCGGCCCATCAGGAGCACTAGGAAGCTGGTTCAAAGCCCCTTCCTTGTTGGGTGGTGGGCTGTCTCAGCTGTCAAGAGCAGTCTTTTAAAGTTAATATGAAGATATGATGAACCCCAACTAACTCTTAGGTAGAGACCTGCCAGGTTAGTTAGGGGGAGCCCCAGTACCGTTTGGTCTGTAGCACTGAGCCCGGTGCCTATGTCACTACGTGTGGAGTGCTCTCTCTGGTCAGTAGGATGAAGTCTCTCTGGCTATGTGGCAGGAGGAACACCACAAAGGCACTCTTTCAGTGGACAAAACACTAGCTTTGGCATATAGCCAGAAATAGAATTTTAAGATGGTAAAAAACATAGCTCTTATATAAATGTAGAATGAACACACGTTAAAGATTTACTACTTCATTAATGAGCGAAGCAAGAACATGGTAAATCTTGTGCAAAGAGTGTTTTGAGGAACTACTCATCTTATAGAGATGTAAGAAAGCTGTGCTAGAATTCAGTGGCTAGGTTCAGCAGAGTACTAGTTATTGTCCTATGTAAAAGATACACTTTAATGAACTTTTATCCTCTTAATAGGGATTATTTGCATCTCTACCCAATAAGATTTCCAGGTTAACATATAACCTCACAGAGTTTAAGCCTTTTCTTACTAGAATTACATGAAGTTATCTTCCCTGGGTAATTAATTAATCCTGGGGGGGGATATATGTAAAACACTGCCCAGCATGACCTTGATTGGACATCTTACATGCTCCTGGCCTTATATCCAAGTTTTAGATCATGCCTAATTCAAGCCCAAGCTTTGCTAGTTATTTGATGAGATGTTCAGGAAGTGGCTAGTGGGCCTTCATCCCACCTGAAAACCAGCAGATGGTGTTTATTTTAGTGAGCACAAAAGGGGAATAAAATGATCAAGATCTATATATACTAGTTCCCCAGGATGAATGTAATTATTATATATTGCAAAGA